TACTCCATGTACTTTGTATACAAGAGCATCACGTAGGCCTCAAACATACATTTATGCTGCCTCGAAAAAGCTCAAGGGTGTCCTCATCGTCTGGGCTCATGCACAGCATCAGATCTCACCTACCCTCTCGCAGGTTCTAATTCTGCCGGCTTGGTTATCACGCACTTCGCTGTCACTTACAAACGCATCACCTGCACATGCCGGTAAAACAACACTATTGTATTGGACCATCAGCTTTAATATAAGCTTGCTATCATAGCCGACACGATTCAACAATGTCAACCTTCCGTTGTGAGCATGGTCTAAGACCCAGGTCGCTCGGTCAATCTGTCAAAAATACCGTAGAATACGTAATGAAAGGTTTCTTAAAGTGTTGTGCCCTGGAGAAAGGGCAAGCCTGTTCTGCAATCTTAAAAACTTTAGCGGGCTAAGAGTAAATGCAGCTTGGCTGTAAGTTAATAAAAGTAGCCGTAGGCAAGCGAATTGATGACATTTACAAAAGAACCGACCATAAAGGCCTTGTCAGCCAATCTTTTGAGAATTTTGACTGCTTTAAATTTTGTAACGATGGGTTTTGCAGCTGAAGAAAGACAAACATCACATATGATAGCTCCGCTGCTATAGAGATATAAAAAACCAAGGGGCGGATCTCACCTTCCTAATTTGAGTTCTAAAATCTGCAGTTTGAGCAATGACTAAGGTATGCTCCTTCCGTACCTCGTCAGGGTCTCGAAAGGCCTATATGCAGTTTATGTTGGCTATGGTCAACGTAAGATTTGACCGGAGCGTATACACAAAACGCCCAATGCCTGAAATATTCAGCTTATGTTTGAGAACGTGCAGCGAAGGTATTTACAACCAAAATGCACTTCCGGCTCATTGGAACCGCACAACTAAATTTAGCCCCGTCTACGTCCCACATCGCTCACAATTTAAGTTCAATATTCCACTCATGGCTATTAACAACTTCGGTGCCCAATCTAAGGCATCGAGCAAGTCACGAGAAACTCGAACGGCATGACCGGAGACCTATTGCACCCACGGGAGAGCCAAACTGCAGAGCCGGAGGGCAGTCGGTGACCCGCGATCTCAGTCAGATTGGAACCAAAGTAGGTCGCGAAACTCCTCTCGTCATAAGGCAGACTCTAATCTAGCCCGTAAGACATCGTCTTGATTGAGACGTTAAGGCGGTGTTATGGTGTCCCTGCCCTTTGCTCTGCCCTTGGTCTCTGCTCTGCCTGGGCCTCTGCTCTGTTCCCAACCCCCGCTCGGTCCCGGTGCTGTACCCCGTCCTGAGTCTCTGCACTGCCCAAGCCTTCTGCTCTGTCCTGGACCTCTTTCTCGCCTCGGGCCTCTGCTCTGACAAGGCCTAAGCCCTGTCCCGGCCCTTTGCCCTGTCCTGAAACTCTATGTCGTTTCGAGCCTCTGCTCTGTCGCGGCCCTCCGCTCCGTCCTGGACCTCTGTGTGACCCCGGGCCTCTGCTCTACCGCGGGCTGCCCGGCGCCGGGCCGCTGGAGAGACGCCCCGCTCGCCCGGCCTCGGGGCGATCAATAGAATTTGGCGGTCCTCCAAGAGGCGGCGGCCGGCTCTATATGAGTGGATCGGGTCATTAGTGCCGGTCGCGGCTGTCGACGGCGCTGAGGTCGGACTCTCCCAGCTAGGAACCGAACAATGGACACCACCAATGCCAGACCTCCAGAGCACCAGTCTACCCGAGCACAACCTGCCTACATAGAAAGGAGTTGTACCCGTATCGGGGCTAACCCCCCCCCCCCCTAAAGATAATTCCTTGCCCCTTCCCTAAAAAGCATTCAACCTCCTAGAAGAGCTTTTGCTTAGTACCGTCTTTTGCCACCATCACTCACTCCCAGCACTACTTCCTCCCATCACCAATCCTCCCACCTTTTCCGGCACCGACATCTCCTAGCACCGTCCGACCCCAGTACCACCCCCTCCCAATCATCGACCTTCCCTGGCGCCAGACCTGCCCAGCGCCACCATTTTCTAGCAGGGCGCCCGCGCCGGCAGCCCGAGACATCTCCGGTCCATAAACCCATAGATAAAGCGTTACGGCGGCAGGATGGGATTGGTCGTTCCAGCTGCAGCCCCGGGATGCGTCGTAATTATCTCCCGTGGCGAGCAAGCTATCGCCGGCTATTGCCGAGCTCATATGGCGCTTTGTCGACGCGGTGCTAACTCTCGGCCGGTGTTATCATTTGGAGGGCTGAGCTCTAGTTCGAGATAATGCGGGTCGTCAGACAAATGCACTGCATTACGGCGCGCAGCAGTAGATACAGTGCACGTGTGGATTCAGGAAATGACAATCTTGGGTACCTGCTTAAAACCTCGCTCTGAGAAGACAGATTCTTACTCATTTTCAGCCATAAACATTTAGGACCGTTCTCAAACAACATCACGCCTGCATACATGTCTCGCGCTTACCGCCGCTAAATCGTGTATCTGGACACACCGATCATCCCAGAACGGTGTGCTGAGCGTCCAGGCCTGTTTGTGTTACCAAGCGCTGCCCTGCCGGACCCAGCGCTGTTCGAGCAGTGGTGGCGCGCCGCTTGCGTCACGCGCCGCCCGCGGCGGCTGACGGAACTTCATCACGCCACGGCCAGCGTGCGCCACTACACCGGTGGGCCGGGCCGCCTTTCGTGGCACGTCATCACCCCTGCCGCAGCGCCGCTCGACGCAGGCTGCCCTCCGCGGCACGGCGTCACCACCGCCGCAGCGCCGCTCGACGCAGGCTGCCCTCCGCGACCACACCGTCACCCACCGCCGCAGCGCCGCTCGACGCAGGCTTGCCCTCCGCGGCACGCCGTCAACACCGCCGCAGGGCCGCTCGACGCAGGCTGCCCTCCGCGGCACACCGTCACCACCGCCGCAGCGCCGCTCGACGCAGGCTGCCCTCCGCGGCACACCCGATCACCCACCGCCGCAGCGCCGCTCGACGCAGGCTGCCCTCCGCGGCACACCGTCACCACCGCCGCAGGGCCGCTCGACGCAGGCTGCCCTCCGCGGCACACCGTCACCACCGCCCGCAGCGCCGCTCGACGCAGGCTGCCCTCCGCGGCACACCGTCACCACCGCCGCCAGCGCCGCTCGACGCGGGCGGGCCGCTGACTCAAGGCAGCGGGCCACGGCTTCAACCAGATTCAGCTCCATTGCATTCAGGCGGATTAGGTGAAAAACGACGCATGAGTAGTCTGTGCGACTGGAAGGTTCTCAGAAGAGATCCAAGGACGAATCCGCTACCGAGCTTTCTTCCTTTCAAAGTAACACCGAGCATGAATATAGTGGAGAATGATGGACATTTTCTTGGAAAAGTAAAAGCTCCAGCTTAGTTCTTTGAAAACCGACTAAGTATTTGAAGCGAGGTCTCGAGTCTCATTTGGCTGAGCGACCCACCGGCCCAAGAACTTAAAACGTTTGAGCGTGTTTTTCTGTTTGCTTGCGTTTCTCGATTTTTGGAAGCATAAGTCAGCTTTCGACCGTTACGAATAAATCTTAAAGGCTCTGCGATCTTCACATATCATCCTTTTCTAAGTCTTCTGTTCTGTCTAGCACATTTATTTGCGAGATCCAAACATAAAATGCCGCCTGCAATCAACAGCTCAATAAGCTCTTCCACCCAATGTCCCCGGGCGTCAATGCCACTGTAGGCTGCGTCTGCTGCCGAACGTAGTCGCTTATGATGGGTAAGAGCAGCTGGCTTATTTGCGCAAGAGCGTTTTGTTTTTGACAACCATTGATTTGGTCTAAGCATAGTACCTGAAGCCCACTGGTGGTGCTGTTCCCAAGCTATATCTGTCCGACCGGGACAGAAAACTGCAACGGCACCAAGTTTAAGTTATGTCGTGACAGAGCGATATTTATGGATCCAGACGACGGACTTAACGCCATAATTCTTCGGCCATACATTCCCTTTTATAATGTCTCATGCCTAGCGATGTGTGTTTGACTCTAGCGCCATCCCACGGATCATCTACCTCGTCTGCAGTGCAGCGGTCTCTGACGCGTCTCTGTTTACTGCGCTACACATGCCATTGCCGGCGGCTTTCACCGGCGGCGTCAGGGTGCAGCCATCGGCTGCCGGGGGAACACAAGCCGTTCCGCCAGTGTTGATTCGACAAATTCGTCTGCAGCAACGGCCCCAGCAAAAGCAGCCGCGAACAGCCAGCCGAGTCACATCAAAGACGTAACACTTGATCCGACCATATTTTCAGTACCAACTGCAGCGTAATCAGCTCGGCTCCTTTTATCGTGTTTTTATTTTATTTTCGGTGGTCCCGGACCGAGAGCGAACCACGAAGCTGCATCAGTCAGCTGACGAGGTGGTTCAGCTGAGCCCAGTTCGGTCGGCGACTGCAGGCCCTCGAGAAGTCCTCTTATTGGGCGCGCCGGCCGCGCCATTCGGCCGAGAGGCCCCGCTGCCGGCCCGGCTCACCTGCGCGACGACTGAAGTCTTATTGGTGGCCGGGCCTCATTGCTGTTCACTCATGCCTGAGCCAGTGGAAACTACACACGGCGACCACCATCCTGATGTAGCTATTGATTCATGCGGGCGGCAAAATCGGTCGGCATTAACGACACTGCCATCTAGCGGGCCAGAGGATAACTGCAGCCTGGCTGTCAGCAGCTTCAGCGCAACTCGCATGCCACGTGGTCCATGGATCCCTGAGATTTTCGTGGTGTGGTGTAACAGCGATGCTTTCAGCTGAGGTAAACAATGGATCTTAAAATATTCAGATTTGTCTGATTCGTGCGTCTTCGGTAGTGGAATCCTCGGAGCAGGGTATGATCCTCACCTGATGCAAAGGCCGGGGCCCGGACTGGTACGCGCCACGACACCCCCGCGGTCTGGCTGCAGGTGTCGTCGCACGGATCATACTGCACACCTATTATTCGGCTCAAATCCTGTGTTCCTGTTGGTCCCATGCGCGCCTACGGAGCCCCCGCTAGCCACGTTCGACTAGCGCCGTACACCCATTGCCTATTTCCTCCTGCCCTTCTTCTTCTTCTTCTTCATCTCCTCCTCGTCGTACACCTCGCCGGTGTAAAGCTCGTAGAGCACGGGCAGCGGGGCGGCCAGTCGGAGCGGCAGGTAACCGGGCGGACGCAGCTGCACGCCCACCTCGTGCGTCGGCTCTTCGGGCGGTGGTGGCGCGCTCTTCTTGCCCCTCTTTTTCGACTTTGGCTTCGGCTTAGCCTTCTTGGCCTGGCCGCGCTCGGGTGGCGGCTCGGGCGACACGCCGCGCAGCGTCAGCGGCCGGTTCAGCTTCCACTCCAGCCGGTACGGTGTCTCGAACAGCGGTCGCAGCAACAGCTGGCGCACGAACGAGTTTCCGAAGCTGCCCGACAGGGGTTGGAGACGGGGTCAACAGGGCATCCAGGCTGGCAGGGCCATAACGCTTGTCAGGACGGTGGGAGTCGGGTAGCCGTTGGTCTCGGCTAACTCCGAATGGAGTCTGTGTCGACTGAAGAATGAGCCAAATTTGTGATGAGTCAGATATGAATGAATTTCTTTGAAAGTGTTAACTTTGAGTGGGAGCTGAATTATTTGTACTGGTTGTTCTCAGAGAGATGAGCTTACTCAAATGGAACCGCAAGTAACAATCGAAATTATTATCCTGGGGACTCAAGCGTGCGGTAAGTGGAGCACTAGAGAGGAGTAATTGTCCCGCAACAAAAGTTATGTCGTGCACGGGCTTTTAGGTCAGCTCAAGCCTGGTTTGTCGGGTAAACTCCCCCCACATAAATCAGCTCAATCAAAATCCATTCCGGAAATGAGCTTGAGTCAAAATAGGAGTAGGGTCAAACTTGCACCATGCCGTTCACCGTCTGAATCGGAATTAGCCCACCCGCTAAAGTCGAGCCGCATGCCGCATTTTCGCCCACGCGAATCAGTTCCACACGGGCGGAACCAGGCACATGCCTAGCACGAGCTAGCTTACGTCATGATGGACTCTGTAACAGACCACATTTTTGAGCTTCTCACAAGAAATTCCAAAATTTCTAGATAAGCACAGCTCCTTCCCGGAGCGCGGCGCCAGACGTACATTCTGGAGAGATAGTCCCCGAGGCTATCCAGCTGCTCGGTGTTAAGCAGTGGTCTGTTGGTGGACGGCCATGTCTCCAGCTGCGCGAGCAGACGGCATACGTCATCCGGCTGTTTGGCGCTGTCCAGCAGAGGCCGGTCTGAGGCAGCGGGCCGACGGCGTACCGTGACGTCAGTGTACACTTAATGACGTCATAACACTACCGCTTCACAACCCACACTAGCAGAAAACTGCCATTGCGTGCGTGACAACAGCCAACCACTGCTGCAAACATGCAGGCTTCGTACACAAACACTGTGCGCCTAACAGTTTCTCCCCACCGCTGTTGCTCACTTGACAGTTCTACAACATTGCTCAGGATCTGGGAGCTTGGCCACACCACAACTACAGACGTGCTTCTTATCCAGCTGCATGCCTGTAAGCAGTATAAGCATCGCGACTGCACAGTTATGCTAATGCACACTTAATGTACTTGTACTCCTTTGCTCACTTACAAGTGAACTTGTGCAAGTGTATTATGGCCTCAGTTTGGCTTTAACAATGAACCACAATTAAATACTTTAATCGTGTTGTGAGCTTAAATCTGCAGAGCTCCTTCACCATGAAAATTGTCACGCCACGTACCTCTGTAAAATGCTAATGCAAACTTCATGGTGGTGATGGCCATGGCAAGTTGACTGCCCGTATACCGTTGCCGGTTGCCGCCAGGTGGCAGTGCTAGCGAGGTGCCGAGCAATTCCGTCACGCCATTGGTGTAGAAGTCCACTTCCCACTGCTGAAGCCAATCGTGGCTGGATCCTGGGTACTGCAGGAACTCCACCAGGAGCCTGCGGGCGGGAACGCACCTCGACCACGACACGGCCACACAAAGCAGCAGCCAAACCGCGAACCCATGAGCCGCGCCAGCGTGGCGGGCGACAGTCGAACACGGTAAAGCACGCTGTAAGGTCCCCGGAATATCTCGAGCTCGTTTCGCACTAGCGACTATTGCAACCCGAGTGTGCAAGTACTATCTCATTAGCTAAGACACCATAGCTAGTCCGAAGGCCTGGTCAGATCACTAGGGACGTTATCGATCCGCATCCATACACTGCAAATTCCCCTTATTTACCGCTCTACATCCACAACATTTTCTTGTTTGAGAAGCTGCGCTGCTTGCTTGTCGCTGACAATACTGTGTTCCGGAGCCAGAGCTCGCTTGACGAAATTATTCGTCTTTTCCGCCTTTTCAGCCTTTTCCGTCTTTTCATCGGACTGGCGAGCACTATTGGGTGGCATATCTCCAGCTGTATTCCACTGTCTAGGGCAGCCCTCGCGCTGGGATGCAAACTTCGGTCCCGTCAGTCAGGCCAAGGACGTCAGTTATGCTCTGGCAAAGCGAACTGTTCTGCGTAGCAGCTCTGACGCACTTCCTCGTTTGTCGCGTTACAGTTCAGGAGAAAGCCGAGAAAGGTACCTGTGCAAGGGTGCCATCACTTTACGCTATCAGCCGGCATCGTCTTAGTCTTGAAAAGAGCCTTAAACACCTCCGCAGGGGTGATTCCGGGCAGACGCTTGCCGCGCTGGTCCCATTATATGCCGCAAACGAGGGCTAACGTACGTCGCTTGCGATCACCAGAATAAATCCGAACAATCGGTGATCGCTGCGAAATATGGCAGGCGGCACGTGGCTAGTCGGCTGATGTGCTTCGCCGGCGGCAGCGGTGTCGGCGCCGCCGTTCGCACTCCAGCGCTCCACATTACCTTCACTACAGCAACCCTGAACACAGCTGCAACGCTGGGTCCGCGACCGTTCCGAGCCAGCAGGTATGTAAAAATGGGGCTGCTAGAAGTTGGTCAGGAGTACGCAAACTGTCGCAGTGCATAACCGTATTAGGTCCTGTTTTATCTCGAATCACATCATTTGCAGCTTCTGGCTCAGCTACAGCTGCTGTCCACCTTCTGCCAGGATCTGGTCCCTATGATAATGTGAACAAACGCTAGCATATTTCCAGCAGGATAAAGTCCCGCAATTTCAACAAAATTATGGTGCGCCATATGAGGCTATCTAAATTTGTCTTGACACAACCACACGCTGCTTTAAAACAGGCGAAACATATCAATTACTTTATTGGCAACCACTAACGTCTAGCAATATTGACGGTACAGCCCCGCCCAGCCACACTGGACGCAAGTCAGAATACCTACAAAGCACAATGTGAGAGCGACACATCGCCGGTGCTGCCTGCCCGACCGTAAATATGACAAGTGTTGCTCGGGGTCTGCTCCGGGAAGATGAGCCACCACACTCCCCCAGCCCGGCAGCCAACCGTCCCCGCACATAGACTGCTGAGGTGAGCCCTTCCAGCGGGCTTTCACTCCCGCACGGACACGCGCGTTTATGGGAACTTCTGGTGAGGACGCCCACATCCTCTGGCCAGTGGGATACCCTAATGCCACTTGGCGCCCATCAGTAGGATCACAATAGGTCGCGCTGGCCGCCCGTGCCGGCCGGGCAGTCGAAGGCCCAGCTACCGCCGCACACGGCTCCGGTGGCCACCAGCGGCGGCCCGTCAGATCTGGTGTTCACAGTTCGCCCGTAACGGAAGGGGGGAGGCGGGGGGAGGGGAACGGTCGGAGGGGCGAGATGCTCCCCAGCACCACAGATCACGCGGCGACGGCAGGCCGGCACGCGCGCGGCCGGATACATAGCGACCCTTCCGAGCCGAATACTCGCAATCACAGCGGGGGAGGCAGAGGCGAGCGGCGAGGCTGGCAGTTTCTCGTCACACCCGCTCCCGGTCCAGGAACGAGTACCGTTGCAACCCCAGAAGCTGGAACGGCAAACAGAACGGTCACGGCTGTACCCGGAGACAACGGCAGAGCACACACACCACGCAGCCGGGCGGGGTTTGGACGTGGTCTGGACGTGGCCGGCACGGGACCGGGGTGGAGTCGAGGCGGGGTCGAGGCGGGGTCGGGGCGGAGTCGAGGCGGAGTCGAGGCGGCGTCGGGGCGGGGTCGAGGCGGGGTCGAGGCAGGGTCAAGGCGGGGTCGATGCGCGGTTGAGGCGGGGTCGAGGCGGGGTCGATGCGGGGTCGGGGCGGGTCCGTCAGATCACACACCCACGGGCCTGCCCTGTACCCTCAGTGCGGGGACAGGCCATGCAGACCACACAGCTTGAACAGGTCATGCGCCGATCACAAACAGACCGCGCAGACCCGACAGCGGGGATACGACGCATACCAATCGCAGCTTAACCCACAATTCCCGGAGAAATCACCCGAAGCCCTCACAATCTCACAGTTGCTTCTGTACTCCAACAACACAGACAAATCGCGGACAATGCGTGTGTACAACGGCTGCAGCTCTACACGCATTGGAGGAGACAGACCCAACGACGGCAACAGCTCTGGTTGCGGCAGCTCAGCTTCCCAGCTCTCGTCGTAGCAGTCAACAGTAGTTTCAAGCTCCGACTGTGTAGACAAGTCTGGGCAGTAGATACACCTGCAGCACCAAGCTCTGACTGTGGCAGACATACCTGCAGCGCCGGCTCTGACTGAATGGACAAAACCTGCAGCGTCGGGCTCTCGCTGTAGCAGACATACCTGCGCCGAGCTCTGGCTGTAGCAGACATACCTGCGCCGAGCTCTGGCTGTAGCAGACATACCTGCAGCGCCGGCTGACTGTACAGACAAAACCTGCAGCGTCGGGCTCTCGCTGTAGCAGACATACCTGTGCCGAGCTCTGGCTGAAGCAGACATACCTGCAGCGCCGGCTGCCTGTACAGACAAAACCTGCAGCGTCGGGCTCTCGCTGTAGCAGACATACCTGCGCCGAGCTCTGGTTGAAGTAGGCCTACCCGCAGCGCCGAGCTCTGGTTGCAGTATACATACCTGCAGCGCCGAGCTCTGGCTGTAGCAGACATACCTGCAGCGCCGGCTGACTGTACAGACAAAACCTGCAGCGTCGGGCTCTCGCTGTAGCAGACATACCTGCGCCGAGCTCTGGTTGAAGTAGACATACCTGCAGCGCCGAGCTCTGGTTGTAGTAGACATACCTGCAGCGCCGAGCTCTGACTGTAGCAGACATACCTGCAGCGCCGAGCTCTGGATGTAGCAGACATACCTGCAGCGCCGAGCTCTGGCTGTAGTAGACGACGGCGCCCACCAGGTTGACGGCGGCGGCCAAGACGAACACCGGAAACCAGCGTCCTTGCGAGGCTGTCACCAGGTCGGCCGTCACTGGGCCGCACAGGATGCCGGGGATCGTGGCCTGTGCAGAAGGACGACCGCCACACCGTCACACAGGCGCACACAGATACGTCGCATGCCACGTCACAAGGCGCACACAGATACGTCACATGCCACGTCACAAGGCGCACACAGATACGTCACATGCCACGTCACACAGGCTCACATAGATACGTCACATGTCACGTCACAAGGCGCACACAGATACGTCACATGCCACGTCACAAGGCGCACACAGATACGTCACATGCCACGTCACACAGGCTCACACAGATACGTCACATGCCACGTCACACAGGCTCACACAGATACGTCACATGCCACGTCACACAGGCTCACACAGATACGTCACATGTCACGTCACACAGGCGCGCACAGATACGTCACATGCCACGTCACACAGGCTCACACAGATACGTCACACGCCACGTCACACAGGCTCACACAGATACGTCGCATGCCACGTCACAAGGCGCATGCAGATACGTCACATGCCACGTCACAAGGCGCACACAGGGGGTGCCGGCAGTGTAGTGGTTAACGCGTCTGCCTTAACCACTGAGCGTCTGGAAAACCAAAGGTACGGGGTTCGATTCCCGGCGGCGCCCGCCCTTCCTGCCAGGGTGAGAGGCAGGCGACGCCATTTAGCCTCAGCAGCTGAGTGCGTCGTAAAGCCCCAATGACATGACATGACAAGGCGCACACAGATACGTCACATGCCACGTCACACAGGCTTACATAGATACGTCACATGTCACGTCACACAGGCGCACAGATACGTCACATGTCACGTCATACAGGCGCACACAGATATGTCACATGCCACGTCACAATGCGCACACAGATACGTCACATGCCACGGCACACAGGCGCACACAGATGGCGCCACAGACTGGCACACGCATACAACCGAACAGCACACATCACTAACGGATTACATAATACGGATATGCACAAACTGTTAACAATCACACCTTTTTACAAACCGCGAACGTGGTCGTGTTCCTATACTACGTGCAGAATTAAGACTAATTATAAGAGACATCACGTCATTTAGCACAATGCATGCCTAAGTTCCCGATGCTTTTAAGACTTGTGCAACGCTGCGCACGAAGTCAAAGTCGACTCAAGAATCAGACAAATTTCAGCTGAGTCAAGGTATAACGGTATTTTACGTCACACGACGTTGGCTGAGAAGTGACACAATATGTGTGAATGGCTCATTGAAATAAACTTAATAAGTGACTACGCAGATACGGAGCGCGCGTGGGCCGGGAGGCCGGCGCCCTTCACCAGGGTGTTAGAGATGGCGAACGTGACACCGGCGTGGTTGGGCGCCACCTCGGCGTGGTTGCTCAGGTGGCCGGCCGAGTTGAAGGCGCAGAAGCCCATCACGATCGACACCAGACTGAAACGGCGTCGGCGTGACGTCACACAGCGCCCTGACGTCACCCTCTGCCTGGCTGCCGGCCGTCACGGGGGAGCGGCGAGGTGGCGACACACGGGACCAGAACGCATGGGCGCGGCGGTGCTAACGTGTGAGGCACAAATAAGACTGCAATCATGTGAAATTGAAGGCATAAGACGGGCGGAAGCAGATAAACACCCTGCTTCCAGATGGCTGACATAGCCTCCAGACGCCTGAGACGGCAGCAGAGACGTGCATACCGGGACCAACAACTCGCCAAATCGCGTGCTCCATTCAGGCCACGAACGCGCACACACTGCACCCGCCAGTCCGACACCACAACAGCACCCGCCACTGTCACGTTCCAGCTAACTTCCAAGCCGTGCCCACAGCCATCGCCGGCTCGTCAGGCCGTCGGCGCTGGCGGCGGCGGTGTCCGACGGCGCCGCTCACTCACAGCAGCGCCGCCGGCAGGTTATTAACGGCGCAGAAGAGGACGAGGAAGACGGCCGGCCCCACCAGACCAATGGTGGTCATCAGCCGGCGCACCGACAGCACCGTCCACTTTTTCTGCGTGATGAGCCGGTCCGCCAGGTGGCCCGCCGCTGGGGAGGGGGAGTGGCGTCAGCCGGCGGGCACACACACACACACACGCGCACACGCACGCACGCATGCACACACGCACGCACACACGCACGCACGCACGCACGCACACAACACAACGCGACACGACGGCGCAACACGGCGTCTGTTGGCATCCGGCGAGCGGGTCGGAACTGAGCCAGATAAGGCAACGTCCCCAAACACCGATGGGAAGGGGATGCGTAAATAAAGGCATGCTTCAAGAGTGGTTGTAGAGCATTGCCGCCACCCTCCCCACCTGTGTCCAGCCAACCATGAATAAGCGAGCCATCAAGCTATATGCCGTCAGCCTGCACTGTCCGAGTGTG